AAAAAAAAAAAAAAAAAGAGTACACAGTTATTTACTGATTTTAATGTTTTTTATACAAATATTAGTAGTGATTATAATAAATGTTTCGCTTTTCTATTTAACTATGCTATAAATATAAAATAAAAAAAAAAAGGTAACATAAGTAATTGTATTAAATGCATAAATTATTAAATAGTTAAAACCTTAAATATTTTAAATAAAAATCAAATTTTTGTGCTGGAATTGCTTATTATTTGAAAAAATTATCAATTTGTACAGCTCACGATAAAAAATGATTCAAATTATTAAGATAGTAACATTACTATCAATATTTAATACATGCTATGGAACATCTAGCAATCTTATGACAGAGTGAGTATTAATTCGTATTTTTTAATTTTAATATGTTTCAAATTGATTTAAATAGAATTGTATTTCATACATTTTTTATTTAGCCAATTTTTTTTTGTTATTGTTCGTATTTTTCAATTTTAATATATAAAAAAAAAAACCCAGCACAGGGGGGTCGCGGCACAGTGGTGACGTGGCATAGATGGATCAAGTATAATGATATCTGACAGTGATTAAAATCACTATAAAAAAAAAAAACTTCGATGCAAATCTTTAGATAGTGTTTAATTTTAAAAAACCCAGCACAGGGGGGTCGCGGCACAGTGGTGACGTGGCATAGTTGGATCAAGTATAATGATATCTGACAGTGATTAAAATCACTATCAAAAAAAAACGCTTCGATGCAAATCTTTAGATTGTGTTTATTTTTAAAAAAATTGGTGTATTATTCCAAAAGCTACTTGATCTGCTGGTTCCTTATTAATATCTCGATTAAGATAAAGTATGTCGAATGAAAAAGGGATTATTAAAAATAGTATTTCCCATGAAAAAATTATATTGATCAATACACTTTTCAATAAGTTATAGCATTATAAAGTTAAAAATGTAAAAAATAAAATCGAGAATTTTCACACAATAATAGCATTTGGTAGCCATTTTCACCGTGAAGACAAAATAAAGTCCGAAATTTTTTTTTTACATAATAAAGTAGATTACATTAGCTTTAATTTAATATATATAGAAAAGTGTCAGACTTTCCGGAACACTTTCAAAATTTAAGTTGAAAAAGTCAATTTTTTGTGAAAAAGTTGTCATTTTGAATCCCCCCTGTAGGCAGGTAAAAAGTCAGATTTATAAAAAAAATATACCAACTGATAGGTAAAGACATCATGCATCTATAAAAAAAAATTATATTGATCCATACATCTTTCATGAGAAGTTATAGCATTATAAAGTTAAAAATATAAAAAAGAATTTTTTTACAAAAATCGTATTTTTTTTATTAAGTTTAATGTCTGTTTTCACCATGAAGATAAAATAAAGTCCGAAATTTTTTTTTACCATTATAAAGTATATTACATTAGCTTTAATTTAAGATATATATAAAAGTGTCAGACCTTCCGGAACACTTTCAAAAGTTACGTTGAAAAAGTTCTACTTTCTATATGCATTTTTATGTTTTGAATCCCCCCTGTATTTAGGGAAATGGTCCGATTTAAAAAAACAGTATGTCGAATGAAAGATCTATATAAATACTACTTCTCATAAAAAAATTGTAATGATTCATACATTTTTCAAAAAGTTATAGCATAATAAAGTTAAAAATGGAAAATACAAAATCGAAAATTTTCACACAAAAATAGCATTCGGTAGCCATTTTCACCATGAAGATAAGATAAAGTCCGAAATTTTTTTTTTTCATAATAAAGTATATTACATTAGCTTTAATTTAAGATATATATAAAAGTGTCAGACCTTCCGGAACATTTTCAAAATTTAAGTTAAAAAAATTAATTTTTTGTGAAAAAGTTGTCATTTTAAATCCCCCCTTGTGGGCAGATTAAGGGTTAAATTTATGAAAAAAATATACCAAATGAAAGGTAATGATATTATGCATCTATATAAAAAAGAATTATATTGATATGTTCATTTTTGAAAAAGTTATGGCACTTTTAAGTAAAAAAAATTGAAAAAATTTCGAAAATTAGCGATTTTTAAATTTGTAATTTTTTTGGAGGTTTCCCCCATTTACGGGGAACGAGGGAATTTTTTTCAATTTTTAAGGGTAATGTCTTCGACTAGATACGATTTGTGATCTTTTGACTTATCATTGAAAGAAATCCGTTCGGTGAGAGCTGAGAAAAAGTGGTAACAGAAAAAAAAAAAAAAAAAAAAAAACACATCTTAGTAAAACCAATACCTTCTCAGCTTCGCATCGAAGCTAAAATGTGTTCAAGTAGAATTAAATTCCATGATAATATCATGGAATTTATATTTGCAAATTTATTTGCTTTAACTTAAAAAAAATTTAAATCTCAATATAATTTTTATCAATAATATTGAAGACAATTATCTTTATTTTTAATATATAAGTTTAAAAAAAAAGTTTCTACGACTTAAAAATACATACTTTTTTTACAGCCTAAGTATGGAATGGGATGAATGGAGTAATCATTTTAAGGGTGATTACATACAGTATGTTGGACACTATGAAGGAATGACAGATGATATAGACACGCATTCTAAAATAAAATCACAGTATTTATCGGGAATAAATAATGTTAGAAATTGGCATAATGTAGAACCTCTAATACAAATTATAGAAGTAAATATTTTTTTAATTAATTATAATGAGTAATGAATTATGAGCATTCGGAAACTTGTCATAGAACCTTGTTTTATTTAAGTATCAACCCAACAGTTATTAAAAGTATAATAGATATGCATAAAAACAATAAAGAATCGCTATGCTAATTTTATTTATCATATATTTCTATAATATTAATATTAAGTTAATATTTTATAATATATAATTTCTAAAGACATATGTCTCTGCAGGGCCATTAAAACAATGTTGTGCTTTCTGAAAGCAGGCAAATACATTCCTGTAAATCTGGTCATAGAACCTTGTTTTATTTAAGTATCAACCCAACAGTTATTAATAGTATAATATTTATGCATTAGAATGTTGATAATCTTTATGTCAATTTTATTTATCTTAAAACCCTATAGTTTGAGAGCAAATTGTAGGGTTTTATATCTTTGCATTAAGATATTGTTACAAAAAAATGTCGGTAATCTCTCCCATTTTAAAAGGTAATCACACACTGGCGACTTGTGGCTTGGACGACGGGACATACGTACACCCTACTAAAATTAATTAAAAGCAGACAATTAAATGTATACTCTTAATTCTACATTTTTATTAAAAATGCAAATTTTTAAATAGTAAAATAGTTATAATACATTTATCATGTGCGAATATTTAAGTTGTTTCTCTCAGTATATAAGGGTACACATTCCCATATGAGCAGTGTTTGGACGACTGGCAACGTTGTCATTACGGTATAATATTAGTATATTACTATATTGGTAATTTATTTTTAGAATTAACTACGTGTACTCTCGTCGTTATCGTCGTCTGCTTTAATAATATAATTGCTATTATTATTTTCATTTCTATTTTTTACTGCGACCTTTAAAATACTTATATGTGTATTGTATTTATTTTATTATATTTAATTCGACAATTTTTTATACCTATAACTGGTGATATTACATTTAAAGTCGCACCCCACCACCAGCACCCACGAGCCGATACTATTAACACATGTACATTTTTTGACCTTTTATTTTTTAACAATACTTTACTTTATCTATGTATAATTTGTTTATTACTCTATATAGAAGGCTATTTTTATTATCATTATTAATACTTTAAAAGTATTTTGTACTTGATTTCATTCAAAGAAAAAATTTTTTAAGTGTGTGAGCACGGGGTGCTAATATGAAATTTTAGGTGCGGAGTTTTGGGGCGGGCCATGTTCGTCACTATATGCAAAACGTTAATGTGCACTTGTGTAATGTAGTAAACTTTGTTTCTGCTTTTACTTTAATAAAACGTAATACAGTTAGAGGTCCACAGGTTGATTCTTTTATTATCGATCACTTAATAATGCAACATTTTCACAAAATGCCTATTATAAAATATATAAAATAAATTTAAAATGGTTCTCATTAATATTCGAAGATCGACTTTTTTTGATCCACCCTAAAGTATATATAATATATATACACATCTAAAAACCATATACATTGTATATAAATGTTTGTATTTTAAAGATTGAATCAAAAAATAACTTCATTGAAAATTATTTATTTAATATAGCCTATTTTATTTTAGGAAAAATCTATCATGATTATTTTTATGTTAAGTGTAATAGAATTGAGTTATTAGTAAATGTACCGAACGAATTCAGCGCGTCAATATTTGTTTCACTCTAGTAAACTTTGAAATGACGTCTCTACCTTATACATAATAAGGGTATTAACTTTAATACTTCAAATGGCATCATAAATACTTAATGAACTTATAAAATAGATATTGACCTAATTAAGAAAATAATTTGTCAATAAAAATTATGTTATTGAAATGTTAATTATGTATGAAGTTATTACCAATTTAAAAAAATTGTTTAAGGTGAAGTGTGGGTTTTGTTATTTTTATCATTTGATATTTCCCAGCTTCTCTCTATCACCTAGGTAAAAAAAAATTAATAAATTCCTAAATACTGGTCCTATATTTTATTGTATTTTATATATTTATGAACACTTAATTAAAAGATCTGCAAAATTTTATTTTTAAGCTATAATTTACATTATTAGTATAGTTAGGTTTTCAATTACAATAATGTGATCTGCAGTTGGATAACATTGCACAGTCATATGCAAATTATATAGCCAAGACAGGAAGTTTTGAAGTAAGTAACTTCAATAAAGTTTTTGGCCTTTTGAAATCATGTCGTGATAAGGGTATCAACTTTAATACTTCAAATGGCAACATACTTATTTAATTAACTTATAAAATAGATATTGACCTAATTAATAAAATAATTAGTCAATAACAATTATGTTATTGATATGTTAATTATGTATGAAGTTATTACCAATTTAAAAAAACCCAGCACAGAGTGGTCGCGGCACAGTGTTGACGTGGCATAGTTGGATCAAGTATAATGATATCTCATAGTGATTAAAATCACTATCAAAATAAAACGCTTCAATGCAAATCTTTAGAAAGTGTTTAATTTTAAAAAATTGGTGTATTATTCCAAAAGCTACATGATCTGCTAGTTCCTTATTAATAATCTGATAAAGATAAAGTATGCCGAATGAAAAAGGGATTATAAAAAAATATTATTTTATATATAATAATTGATAATTTATCATAGAAAAATTGTGTTCATCCATACATTTTCCGAAAAGTTATAGTTAATGGGAGAGATAAGTAATCTCTCCCATTTTAAAAGGTAATCACACAGTGGCGACTTGTGGCTTGGACGACGGGACATGCGTACATCCTATCGTGTGCGAATATTTAAGTTGTTTCTCTCAGTATATAAGGGTACGCATGCCCATATGAGCAATGTTTGGATGACTGGCAACGTTGTTCATACGGTATAATATTAGTATATTTCTATATTGGTAATTTATTTTTAGAATTAACTACGTGTACTCTCGTCGTTATTGTCGTCTGCTTTAATAATATAATCGCTATTATTATTTTCATTTCTATTTTTTACTGCGACCTTTAAAATAGTTATATGTGTATTGTATTTATTTAATTATATTTAATTCGACAATTTTTTATACCTATAACTAGTGGTATTATATTTAAAGTCGTACCCCACCACCAGCACCCACGAGCCAACACTATTAACACATGTACATTTTTTTAACACGCTTATATTAGTTTCACCTGTATGTATGTATGTATGTATGTTTGTAACTCTCCAAACGCCACGCGTTATCGCATATTCCGTCGTCTAGACTAGACTGTCATAACGCATTCACCCCTCCCCACGCCACTCTCTCCACATGACGACAACACTATTCCTATAAAAATGTATTTTTAGTTATTGTACCCGTACACACGTACTTGTCATCAATATTATATATAATGTATGGATCAATACAACTTTTTTATGAGAAATGATATTTTTTAATAATCTCTTTTTCATTCGACATACTTTATCTTAATCAGAATATAAATAAGGAAATAGCTGATCATTTAACTTTTGGAATAATCTACCAATTTTTTAAAATTAAATACTATCTAAAGATTTGCATCGAAGCGTTTTTTTTTATAGTAATTTTAATCACTGTCAGATATCATTATACTTGATTCGACTATGCCACGTCACCACTGTGCCGCGACCCCCCTGTACTGGCTTTTTTAACACGCTTATATTAGTTTCACCTGTATGTATGTATGTATGTATGTATGTATGTATGTAACTCTTCAAACGCCACGCGTTATCGCGTATCCCGTCATCTATGGCCTTGAGACTAGACATTCACCCCTCCCCACGCCTCGCTCACCACACGACGGCACACTATTCCTATAAAAATTTATTTTTAGTTATCGTACCCGTACACGCGTGCTTATCATCAATATTATATATATATAAACAAATTTTTATTTTGACTGACCAATACCATCCGCGTGCCATTCGGCTTACGTATATATTCCTACCGCCGTTTATACTTTAGGTATAACGTTAGTCCGACCCGCCCGCCCACAAAATACGGTTATACCTAGTGCATGATACGTTTACGTACTTAAGTCGCATTATTTGTATATATAAATATTAGTGTCCCTTATTTTTAAAATTTTGGAATTTCTTCGGGCTTACTCCCCAAATTTGTGTGTATACATTTAAAAAGTGGCTACAAAAAATTTCAGGCCGATCAGATAAGTTTAACCCGTGCCGACTTAGGGTTGAAAAAATGTCAAAATACGTAATATTTCGTAAAATTGTCGAACTATAAGTGATACGACCTATTATTTCATACAAAATTTGTTTAAAATTAAATTTTACAAAATAAAAGTAATAAGTAAAAATTTCATTGAACCGATCGTTTTATTGCTGTAGCTGAGATAGCTCGATCATATTACGATTTTTACTAAATATACGAGTTTTATTGCTAGATTCTGTTAGTTTTTATCTGGTATATTATGAATAAGGTATACTCTACACAAAGTAAGCCTTATTTATCAATATTATTGTATAAATTAAAAAAAAAATGCTACATAAAATATAAAATGTTAATTTCAAAATAATTTCTCTTAATCGTTTAGCTATAATAATACTTCTGTATTGAAAGCTAAAAAAAAAAAAAAAAAAAAATAATTTCTAAATTATAACAAAAATATATATATAAGAATTAGATTTTAATGATTCTTTTTTGAAATTAAGATATAATTATCTATGCTCTTGGACACAGCATAAAAGTAACACGGCTTTTTAATCGTTTACTGATAAAATACCATGAAAATCTTCCAGTATGCTCTCTCAGCCGAGTCATTTAGTACTTTAAGTGAGCATACAATTTTTTTCCTTGTAAATATAAATCATTAGTATTGATATAGAATCGTTAAAAAAATTACATTCTGCTCTTCGACAAAAAAGAAGTTACAGTTTTAAAAAAAAAAAAAATAATTAATTACTCATGAATAGATAGATATCAACAATATTTGTATTAATTTTTTTAAATAAATCTAAGCAATATATTGTTTTGCTCACCCAACAAGCTTAGTGCATGGCTCCAGGAGAGTGAATTTTTATTTTTTATTCTAAGTCACCATTTAAAAAAATTATAGATAACAATTAGCAATTATTTATAATCGTCTCTAAAATATCCGATTCACAACATTTCCCGAGAAAACTGGAAAATATCATTTCGAAAATTTTCAAGTGCAAAGCAACAATTAACATCATCCATTCCATAGGTTGTATTAGAAAAATAATGTTATTCCAATTTTTTAAAAGTTTTTAAACATATGAATATCATGATGTTATCTGAAGTAGTTTTGTTTTGAAAACACCGCGTAAAATCAGTTCATAGATGTGAGGGTGTTGGTAAAAACAATAAATCTTTCTCAAATTTTTTAGAGCAAAAAAGGACACCAATCTTTTAAACGTCCTATATTATGCCGGCCATACACGATACGGTCTACCTGCACAGACATACCCGCGCAGGTAGACCTCTCCGGTAGACCGTATCGTGTATGGTCGGCATTAGATGCAGTATTATCACAACATAACAGTCTAATGTACAATAAACAGCATTAGCTTGATCATATCCCGTCGACTTTATCAGTTTCGGTATGTTAATTAATAATCTAGATTTTCACTAGATATCACAATTGGTAACTAATGCACGAGTCTCTTACATTTAAAATGGGTAAAATCTTTCCATCCCAATGCATAGTGACATATATAGAAGGACAACTTAAAATTTTTTTTTTATTGAGATAGCCCGTTCAATTTACATAGCATTACGTTATCTATGTACTGAACACTTATTTATAATAAGTGATCAGCTATAGCAATAAAACGATCGGTTCAATGAAATTTTTACTTATTACTTTTATTTTGTAAAATTTAATTAAAAAAAAATTTTGTATGAAATAATAGGTCGTATCACTTATAGTTCGTCAGATATGATGAAATATTTGTAAATATACCAATTTCGACAATTTTACGAAATATTACGTATTTTGACATTTTTCTGTAAAACTAATGGATTTAGAAGAAAAACTGTTAGAACTTAATTTATACAAAACAATTAGATTAACAATTTAATTTCTATAATTTTTTTTGTGAAAACGCTAATTTACGAGTTAATTTCTAAAAACTAAAAAACTACCCTTTTTTGCCAATTTACAACACCAAGACGGCACGGGTTAAACTTATCTGATCGGCCTGAAATTTTTGGTAGCCACTTTATATATGTATACACACAAATTTGGGGGGTAAGCCCAAAGAAATTCCAAAATTTTAAAAATAAGGGACACCCTAATATACCTTAGATATAACGTTAGTCCGACCCGCCCGTCGTCAAAACACGGCTGTACCTAGTGCATGATACGTTTACGTACGTAAGTCGCTTTACATGTATATATATATATATATATATATATTCTAATTACTATTAAAAATATATATTAACACACTTTATTCTTATTTAGAGATATAGAACTCATTCATTCCGATTACAAAGGATGAATCCAGTATCGTCATTTTTCGTCACTACCTCCATGTTCCGGGAGTGGGTAATTTACGCGCCTGCTGCTTTCCTTGGATGTGGTAGCCGTTTCTCAGACTCCCTCTCCGGAATCGAACCCTCATTTCTCGTTACCCGTTACAACCATAACAACTATCATAACTTGAAACTAAAAAAAAAAATATAGTTTAAAAAAACTAAAAAACACGCTTTTAGAGCACATCGAACTAAAAAGTTGAAAATAATTTTTAAAATTAACTTAAAACAATAATGAACGAAAAGTTCTAGTATTATTATGATAAAAGCGTGGGTGCTTTGTACCATATTTTTCGTATATTGAGCGCCCGACGCTTTTATCACAATAATACTAGTATTTTTTGTTCATAATTATTTTAAAATTATTTTTAACTTTTTAGTTCGATGTGCTTTAAAAGCGTGTTTTTTTAGTTTTTAGCTTCGATGCGAAGCTGAGAAGGTATTAATTTTCCTATGATGTGTTTTTTTATTTTTATTTATTTTTTTTTTTGTGTCTGTGAACGCTCAATCTCAGCTCTCGCTGGACCGATTTTGATGAACAATATGTCAAAAGATCACAAATCGTATCTAATCGAAGACATTACCCTCAAAAATTGAAAAAAATTCCCTCGTTCCCCGTAAACGGGGGAAATCCCCCAAAAAATTACAAATTTAAAAATCGCTAATTTTCGATATTTTTTCAATTTTTTTTACTTAAAATTGCCATAACTTTTTTAAAAATGACCGAATCAATATAATTTTTTTTTTTATAGATACCTTAGATAATTACCTATCATTTTATATATTTTTGTGAACATTTGACCCTTTAACAGCCTAAAGGATGGGGTTTCAAAATGGTAACTTTTTTACAAAAAATTAACTTTTTCAACTTAACTTTTAAAAATTTTCCGGAAAGACTGACAATTTTATATATACCTTAAATTAAAGCTAATGTAATATACTTTAATTTGAAAAAAAAAAATTTGACCTCTGGACTTGTCTTCATGGTGAAAATGACTACCGTATGCAAAAATATGCTATTTTTGTGAAAAAATTCTTGATATTATATTTTACATTTTTTAACATTATGATGCTATAACTTTTTAAAAAATGCATGAATCAATTCTATTTTTTAACAATAAATACTTTATATAAACCTCTTTCATTGGCCATACTTTTTTTTAAAATCGGACCATTTCCCTTTATACAGGGGGGGTGCAAACCTTTTAAAATGCGTATAGAAAGTAGAACTTTTTCAACTTAACTTTTGAAAATGTTCCGGAAAGACTGACACATTTATATATATCTTAAATTAAAGCTTATGTAATATACTTTAATGTGAAAAAAAAAAATTTGACCTCTGGATTTGTCTTCATGGTAAAAATGACTACCGTATGCAAAAATATGCTATTTTTGTGTTAAAATTCTGGGTTTTGTATTTTATTTTATTTTAAAATACCTGACAAGGGGAGTACAGATTTTCATAAATATTATATAAATAAAAAATTAATATAGCATAGAAAGTTAAACTTATTTAAATTTGTTTGCTTCTTTTAAGTCGAGAAAAATAACTTTGAAATTTGAACTAGCTTAAATAGCCGATTTTTCAACCGCCGGAAGCAACGTACGGTTGCCGCGTTGGTAAAATTTATGTTTTACACGCTTGGGGTACGAGGTTCCAACCCGCGTATAACAATGAATTTTTTGCCNACACGCTTGGGGTACGAGGTTCCAACCCGCATATGGCAATGAATTTTTTGCATTTTTTCTTAATTCTTTTTAAGTTAGTATAAATTTTAACTCGTTTGATTTTTATCACATTTAGATTCAATAACTTCAATAAAGATCAAGGATCCCATCACTTTAGTCGCCCCTTGCAAGAAGAAATTTCTTATTCGTATTAAAATTATTTTACTATATTTTAAGTTTTCGCTTCGATGCAAAGCCGAGAAGATATTTTTTTGTGACTATCATTTATTTTCTCTGCTCTAACTTGACCTACTTTTTTCAACAATACGTCAAATTACTACAATTCGTATCTAGTTGAAGATATTACTCTCAAAAATTGAAAAAAAAATTCTAATTTATCAATTAAACAGTTAGTTATTACATCGTCTCCATAAAGACAATTAAAATCATTAATTTCTAATGTTTTCAAAATATTTATTGACGAATGAAGTTTGATATGATAGGTTTCAACTACAAAATTTAAACATTTTACTTTGTAATTTAATAATTTTTTTACTGTATTTGTGTGTGCTACTACTAGACCATAATATTCAAAAAATTTTGGTAACATGTTGCTATATAAATCATTTCTAAAAAAAATGATTGCTAGTTTCTCCTGAATTAATAATGGATTTTTACAATTATAATCAAATTTTATAGTACGCTATTGAGTTGATCTTTTTAACAACTTTGTTTTGATTGGTTCATTTAGTTAAAGGAAATCACTAAAATTAATTAAGTTCTCTATATTTTAATTGTAGAATCTTTTCAAACAACAAAAGTTACTAGGAAATTAACACTATTACTCCTATTTAAGTTATGTATTACCATAAAAATGCAAAAAAATATTGAGCTTTTCTGATAAATTTACAATAAATAGTAATTATAAAACTTTCTGACTGCATATTGATCTTAACGATACAATTTTTTTAATTGTCATAAAATTTTCTATTTAATTATGTCAATGTCAAACTTACCAATTGAGCTAAAAGTTATGGTAAAATAAATTTTTTTTTTTTTTTATAAACATTTACAACAATCAACTTTAAACGATTAACAAAATTGGTTAAATATGTCATTTTCCTTATTTTTAACTTATTAATAATCAAATTAATATTAAATATTATATCAAATCAGTATTAATTTAAAACAATTTTTTTTGTTCTTAATTATTTTTTTTTATATGTAAAAACTATTTTTTAATAATATTAAAACTTAGAAGTTATAGAAAAAGTCTAATTTCACATTTGGAAACATCGCGAAAAGTTGATTTAGAATAGTATATTTTTGTTTCTGATGGAAGTTCCTTGTAGTCCAGTGTAAAAAACTTATAACTTTGTTAATTGTTATAACTTTATCAAAAATGACCAAATCAGTATATTTTTTTTTATTTAGATGCATGTCTTTATCTATCATTTGGTTTTTTTTATAAATCTAACCCTTTACCTGCCCACAAGAGGGATTCAAAATATTAACTTTTTTTTTTTTAGTTAAAGTAAATCATTAAAATTAATTCAGTTCTGGATATTTCAATAGTAGAATCTTTTTAAATATCAAAAATTACTTAGAAATGATTACTATGATTTCTATTTAAGTGTTCTATTACGATAAAAATGCAAAAAATAATGAGTTTTTCTGATAAATTTACAATAAATAATAATTATAAAACTTTCTGACTGCATATTAATCTTAAAAATAACATTGTTTTAATTCTCATAAAATTTTCTATTTAATGATTCATTCTAGTCAACGAAGGAGTAATTTTGCAGAATAGCAGAAAAAATTCCCAACAAACTTTTTTTTTTTTTGTTTTAATTAGGCAATTGGTGGATTATTCCAAAAGCAACATCAACTCTTATTTCTTTAATTATATCATGATTAGTAGTTCTTTGATTTTAAAATATAATATTTGAATATATACTAATTATAATTATTAAATTTAGTATGAAATTGATATTTAATATTGTAATTTAAACGGAGAAATTATAAAAATAATAAAGAAGTTATATTTTGCTTTACTTTTACGTGTATAAAAATTTAAAGGGCTTGATACAATAATTTTCAATAAAAACTGTTTGTTACTATAAAAAAATGCACTGGACTACAAGGAACTTTCATCAGAAGCAAAAATATACTTTTCTAAATCAACTTTTCGCGTTGTTTTCAAATCTGCAAGTAGACTATTTCTATCACTTCTAATTTTTTATATTATTACTAATTATATATATAAAATAATAATTAAAAGAAAAAAAAATTTGTTTTCAAATTATTACTGATTTGATTTTTAATATGTTAAAAATAATCAGTCCAAATTTTCAATTTTAACCTATTTTTTTGGTTCTTTAAAGTTGATGAAAAATTTTTGATAAAGATTTATGAAAGTTTATAGTAAAATAAATTGAATATATTACCATAACTTTTAGCTCAATTACAAGTTTAAAATTGACATCTAGGCCAGTCAACAAAGGAAAAATTGCGGAAAAAATTTTGTTTTTTTAAAAGTTGAATTAAAATATGTATAATGACATACTAATAGTCCTCAAGATTGGAATTGAGCTTTTTTTTTAAATCCTCGCAAAAGTTCAAAAATATGAGCTTTCTTAATTTTCTCAAAAAAAAATATTTAACTTACAAAAAAAAGTTTCGCACAAAAGTTGTTTAAAAGACAATTATAAATAAAAATATAATCTTATATTTTTTCATTTAAACAAATATTTTTCGAGTTACATTACATTTAATATGAGTAATAAAATTTATATTCCATTTTTTTCATTTTACGGTTACTTTTTATCATGTTATACTTACATTAGACACAATGTTATAAATGCATATGTGTGTATGTGTGAGTTTATTTATTTATTGTATCATTAAAGTGTAGTGTATATTGAGATACAACCGATAGAGTAGGTAATTGATTTGACGCTATATTATTTAAACCCAACTAAACGCTAAATTGTACATTCCGAAATAACAATCATATTATGTCAATTGCCACCGGAATATCTGGTAATATTTTTCTTTTTCTTTGCCTTAATCCCAACTACTTGGGGTCGGGCACCCTTATCCTAAGATTCCACTTGACACGATCTCCCACATCTTCTACGCTCACATCAGCTGTCCTCAAATCGCATTCAATAGCATCCCTCCATCTCTTTTTTGGTCTTCCTCTATCTCTTCTTCCTTCAACATTCATTTCTATAACTGTTCTTACAGCTTTCGATTCTTCTTTCCTCATACCATGACTAAACAATCTAAGTCTATTTTCTGTCATCTTATCCACGATTGACGCAACACCTATACTTCCTCTTATATGCTCGTTCCTTATCCTATCTTCTCTAGTCACTCCACTCATCCAACTAAGCATTCTCATCTCTGCTACACTTATTCTCTGCTCTACTTTCTTATCAACCGCCCAACACTATTAACCATACATCATAGCTGGCCTCACAATTTCATACTAAATTTAAAAACTATAATTAGTATTTATTCATATATTATATTTTAAAATCAAAGAACTACTAATCAGGATATAATTAAAGAAATAAGAGTTCATGTTGCTTTTAAAATATTTCACCAATTTCTCTAAAGGAAACACTATCTACAGATTTGCATCGAAGCGTTTCTTATGATAGTGATTTTAATCACTGTCAGATATCATCTATATATATTGTCCCATCTATGCCTCGTCCACACTGTGCCTCGACCCCACTGTGCTACCGTTTTTTTTTTTTAATATTGTTACACTTAAGGGTTATAATCATAATAATAATAATAATACCTATTACCTAATATGCAGTTTTATCTCTTTAGAGATAAAACTACTTATTCTAACCAGTGGCGCATCTAAGGGGGGTTCCCCGGGTCCGGACCCCACCTTGAGCATTTTAAAGTGAAAAATTGGGTAGGTAATTTTAGCTTTTATCAAGCTATATTTTACAGTAAACACTATTTATTTCTGTAGTATAATAGTCTAAACTGGGTCTGCTTTGCAGCAGATAACAAATCATTATGTTATATTGAAGCCGTGGTATAAGGTCTATAATTATTGATTAATAAAATATAACAAACGACTATGATTGTATACATTGACAAAAACGTGTTTGCGTTTATGACAATGGTTCATTGCAAGAATATGTAACCTATTATTATCAAACCAAAATTCCACAAAAACTTATCGGCAATCAGTTAATATAAACTGGTGTATTTCGTCTTTTGTATTTTGTTATTTGTTTTTATAGTTATATATTTTTTTAATTATGAAACGTATAAATGATTATTTTAAAAAATCAGATTCATCTGAATCCAATCCTAAAAATTCTAAACTTACCACTAGCGATTTTCAAACTTCTAATACAGAAACAAAGGCCTTGGTTGATCATAGCATTTTTGATATTAGCATATATGTCAGTGAAAAATTAAGGAATGCTCAAAAAACTAATCATAATATTTAACCAAAAATTGTATAACAGAGGCCAGTTTTTGTTTTTTGGGGTATTTTTGGTCAAAATACTAAAAATAAGTTGAGCCACCAGTAAAATTTTTTTAAAAATCTCAAATTTTCACAAAATGCTTATTATAAAATATATAAAATAAATTTAAAATGGTTCTCATTAATATTCGAAGATCGACTTTTTTTGATCCACCCTAAAGTATATATAATATATATACACATCTAAAAACGCACCCCACCACCAGCACCCACGAGCCGATACTATTAACACATGTACATTTTTTGACCTTTTATTTTTTACCAATACTTTACTTAATCTATGTATAATTTGTTTATTACTTTAAATACAAGGCTATTTTTATTATCATTATTAATACTTTAAAAGTATTTTGTACTTGATTTCATTCAAAGAAAAAGATTTTTAAGTGTGTGAGCACGGGATGCTAATATGAAGTTTTAGGTGCGGAGTTTTGGGGCGGGCCATGTTCGTCACTATATGCAAAACGTTAATGTGCACTTGTGTAATGTAGTAAACTTTGTTTCTGCTTTTACTTTAATAAAACGTAATACAGTTAGAGGTCCACAGGTTGATTCTTTTATTATCGATCACTTAATAATGCAACATTTTCACAAAATGCCTATTATAAAATATATAAAATAAATTTAAAATGGTTCTCATTAATATTCGAAGATCGACTTTTTTTGATCCACCCTAAAGTATATATAATATATATACACATCTAAAAACGCACCCCACCACCAGCACCCACGAGCCGATACTATTAACACATGTACATTTTTTGACCTTTTATTTTTTACCAATACTTTACTTAATCTATGTATAATTTGTTTATTACTTTAAATACAAGGCTATTTTTATTATCATTATTAATACTTTAAAAGTATTTTGTACTTGATTTCATTCAAAGAAAAAGATTTTTAAGTGTGTGAGCACGGGATGCTAATATGAAGTTTTAGGTGCGGAGTTTTGGGGCGGGCCATGTTCGTCACTATATGCAAAACGTTAATGTGCACTTGTGTAATGTAGTAAACTTTGTTTCTGCTTTTACTTTAATAAAACGTAATACAGTTAGAGGTCCACAGGTTGATTCTTTTATTATCGATCACTTAATAATGCAACATTTTCACAAAATGCCTATTATAAAATATATAAAATAAATTTAAAATGGTTCTCATTAATATTCGAAGATCGACTTTTTTTGATCCACCCTAAAGTATATATAATATATATACACATCTAAAAACCATATACATTGTATATAAATGTTTGTATTTTAAAGATTGAATCAAAAAATAACTTCATTGAAAATTATTTATTTAATATAGCCTATTTTATTTTAGGAAAAATCTATCATGATTATTTTTATGTTAAGTGTAATAGAATTGAGTTATTAGTAAATGTACCGAACGAATTGAGCGCGTCAATATTTGTTTCACTCTAGTAAACTTTGAAATGACGTCTCTACCTTATACATAATAAGGGTATCAATTTTAATACTTCAAATGGCATCATAAATACTTAATGAACTTATAAAATAGATATTTCCCTAATTAAGAAAATAATTAGTCAATAAAAATTATGTTATTGAAATGTTAGTTATGTATGAAGTTATTACCAATTTAAAAAAATTGTTAAAGGTGAAGTGTGGGTTTTGTTATTTTTATCTTTTGATATTTCCCGGCTTCTCTCTATCACCTAGGTAAAAAAAAAATTAATAAATTCCTAAATACTGGTCATATATTTTATTGTATTTTATATATTTATGAACACTTAATTAAAAGATCTGCAAAATTTTATTTTAAAGCTATAATTTACATTATTAGTATAGTAACGTTTTCAATAACAATAATGTGATCTGCAGTTGGATAACATTGCACAGTCATATGCAAATTACATAGCCAGGACAGGAAGTTTTGAAGTAAGTAACTTCAATAAAGTTTTTGGACTTTTGAAATCATGTCGTGATGTTGATGAAAATGAAGACGTAGGAAAAAGAGTACCTATTGAATTGTACAGCAATTTTGATAAAGGCGATAAACCTTTTGATTTTGAAGCGAATGATGAGGAAATGTTTAAAAGTAAGTAAACCTGTATAAGAATTTTATGGAAATTAAATGATAAATCATCGTTTATTGAGTATCGAATTACATCTAAATAATTTTAAATTTATAGACATTATTATTTTATTTTCTAAGTTGCATAATTTTATACAGATGAGAATGTTGAAGGCCGTGATAAATCAATACGTATGATTTGGAAAAGTGCCATTAACATAGGAATTGGCGTGGCAAAAACAAATGAAATTATATATAAAAAAAATAAACAACATGGAACATTTTATATAATTGTAGCAGCGATATATCCTAGGCCACGCACATTGGGAAAATATAAAGAAAATATAACACCTAGAAATCTTGAGCTCATGATACATGATGGTTACTTCCAATTTCTTCAGAAAGAAAAAGAACGCGACAAAAGTTTTATTAGATACAAAATGGACCCATGGTTACGAAACCTTATGGAACGTGTATTAGAAAAGGATGTCAGCATTGAAAAGAAAGATAACTAAACGTTCAAAAACTTCTTTCTTATTTTTGAATTATTATGCTGTTAAAATAAATATAAGTTATAACTAAAATAATCTTTATAAAAACTTGTCTGTATCATTAATAATATTTTTACGATTTTTATTTAAAGTTCACAATTTATATCTTAATAACTCTTAAAAAAAAATTGTTTGCAACACGTATGAAATTGTTCTTGATTTTTATTTATATGGGTGTATAAATTATTAGCTAATAATTGGCTCTGAGTAATTCTAATAGCATATTAATAATATATGCAGAAGTATATATATTGTTATTCATACAGTATTTTCTATGAACACACAAACATTTATTTTGAATTTGTAAGGTTTCAGCCAAATCAGAGGGCCTAATATTTACTCACTGCCCAGGTGAACACTAGACATTGACCTAATAACTGAGCCAAACGAGAATAGTTGTCGTTGACGGAGTTACTAGGTTTTAAGTTAATTAAAAACAAATATTAATAAAATAAGGGAAAATCAATTAAGTAAAAAAACAAGGGCCCATGTATAATATCAGAAATTTTTTTAAATTATTTATATGTATTCATAAAAAAGAGAAAAAAAAAAAGGGGAAAAAAGATGTGCTATATACAACATTAATAAAGGAGGTACAAAAGGGGAGTTTTATGTTGTACTTGTAGTTGTAGTTGTTTGTTGATTTCTTGAGGAGTGCCGGTCCACCACCGGCTATAGTTCGCGCCTCATACTATCATGAATATTTCGACGTTTTATTTTATAGAAAAAAAAATAGTGTACAAAAAAAAATTAGCAGCAAAAAAAAAAACCAGAAACGTGTTTTTTTTACTTTTAAAAACATGAACATATACACACAAGACAACTTTTCGCCTCGGTAGTCTAATTGAGAAAAAAAACATAGCACAGTGGGGTCGCGACATAGTGGGGGGGACGTTCAATAGTTGGGTCCAGTATAGATTTAATCCGACAGTGATTAAAATCACTATCATAAGTAACGCTTCGATGCAAATCTGTAGATAGTGTTTAATTTTAAAAAATTAATGAATAATTACAAAAGCAACATCAACTTCTAGTTCCTTAATTATACCCAAATTAGTAATTCTTTTAATTATATATTATATAATTTTTCAAATTAATTGTTTTAAAATTATTATTGATTTGATTTTTAATATGTTAAAAGTAATAATTTTGAATCTACTTTTTATTGTCCTTTAAAGTGAAAGTTTTAAATAAAAAAAATGAAATTGTTTAGATATGCAATCAGGAAATTTTATAATTACTATTTGCAGTACATTTATCAAAAAAATTCGATTTTTTGCATTTTTATCGTAATAGATCTGGATACGATTTGTGATATTTTGACGTATCATTGAAAGAATTCGGTTCGGTGAGAGCTGAGAAAAAGTGGTAACAGACACAAAAAAAAAGAAATTAATAAAAAAAAAAAAAACACATCTTAGTAAAACCAATACCTTCTCAGCTTTCCATCGAAGCTAAAATTTAAAAAATGTTGGAAATAAGCTATTTTTATATTTGGAATTTTTTTTGTAGATTTTCCTCATTTACAGGGAACTAGGGAAATCTTTAATATTTTTGAGTGTTGTCTTCATACGAATCCCCTTTGTGAGCAGAATAAGTGTTAGATTTTCAAAAAAAATGATATCAAATAAAAGGTAAATATCTAATGTGTTAGCATAAAAAAAAAATATGTTGATTTGTTTATTTTTGAAAAAGTTATGGAAGTTTTAAGAAAAAAAAATTAATAAAATGACGAAATTTACCGATTTTTAAATTTGTAATTTTTTTGGATATTTCCCCCAACGAGGGAAATTTTTTCAATTTTTGAGGATAATGTCTTCGACTAGATACGATTTGTGATCTTTTGACGTATTGTTGTAAGAAATCAGTCCAATGAGATCTGTGAGAAAGTGGGTAACAGACACAAAAATAAAAAAAAAGACATCATAGTAAAATTAATACTTTCTCATCTTCGCATCGAAGCTACAAGTAAAATTAAATTAATATTAGTGTTATTTTATTACAGATATAATTTTATTAATCTTATTATTATAATAATCGAAAAGAAATAAACACTAGTCTTCAGAAAACAACTTATACTACGCTTAAATAATACACGAGTGTAATAAATTACCGGGTTAATGTTAATCGAAGACTTGTGGCGGCCGTGCAACTCATATTTATGTTAACGTCAACGGTTTTCTATAAGCGTTAAGACATCTCGGGTTTTGTTAATGTGTAGTTTAGGAAGCACAGCACGGCCGGTGTATTACGATCTTGATTCGAGTGGTATCAAAATCAGCCGATGGTAATACCCAGGCCGCGTCAATGTAGATGAAAATTAAAAGTACACATAAAATATTCATTTTTTTTCAACTATTATTAAATAATTTTTAAAAATTTAGATCAAAATTAAACACGTTATCCTAACAACGCATTATCTTCAATGAATAATTTTAAAATTATAATACACAATGTAGTTAACTATATTTTATATTATACAATTTTATGTATTAAAATTTTCAATCAAATATTGAGTTTATCATTCTCTTTTAACCAATGTTTTTTTAAAATAAATTGAAATATCATAAAAGTGAATTAATGAAATCATTTTTAAAATCGTTAATATAAAAATAGAGCGAATCCAGGGTGAAATTAATGTTAAACTTTTATTAACGAAAAATAAATTTATAACTTAATATAATTTAAAATTTATAATTAAAAAACTAAATAAATAAATAAACTCATCATGGTAAAATTAATGTCATCTGAGCTTCGCATCGAAGATAAAATAACAATACTAAGTTATTTACTGATTTTAATGTTTTTTGTACAAATATTGGTAGTGACTATATTAAATTTGTCGCTTCTCTATTTAACTATGCTATAAATATATAAAAACAAAAGGTAACATAAGTAATTGTAGTAAATGTATAAATTATGAAATAGTTAAAAATTTAAATTTTTTAAATAAAAATTACACTTATGTGCTGAAATTGCTCTTTAATAAAAAAAATTATCAATTTGTGCAGCTTACGATAAAAAATGACTCAAATGGTTTTATTAACATTATTAATAGTATTTGATACATGCTATGGAACTTCTAGAAATCTTAAAATTGAGTGAGTATTAATTCGTATTTTTAGCTTCGATGTGAAGCTGAGAAGGTATTAATTTTACCATGATGTGTTTATTTTTTTTTTTTCTGNGAAGGTATTAATTTTACTAAGATGTTTTTTACTTTAATTTTACTTTTTTTTGTGTGTGTATGTTACCACTTTTTCTCAGCTCTCACCGAACCGATTTCTTTCAACGATACGTCAAAAGATCACAAATCGTATCTAGTGGAAGACATTACCCTTCCAAATTGAAAAAATTTCCCTCATTCCCCGTAAATGGGGGAAACCTCCAAAAAAATTACAAATTTAAAAAACGCTAATTTTCGAAATTTTTTAAATTTTTTTACTAAAAACTGCCGTAACTTTTTCAAAAATAAAAATATAAAAATATAATAACATAAAAATATAATTTTTTTTTTATAAATGCTTGATGTCTTTACCTATCATTTTGTATATTTTTTTTGTAAATTTGACCTTTTTTCTGCCCACAGGGGGGGATTTAAAATGACAACTTTTCACAAAAAATTAACTTTTTCAACTTAACTTTTGAAAGTGTTCCAGAAGGTCTGACACTTTTATTTATATCTTAATTTAAAGCTAATGTAATGTACTTTAATTTGAAAAAAAAAATTTCGGACTTTATTTTGTCTTCACGGTGAAAATGGCTACCGAATACTATTTTCGTGTGAAAATTCTCGATTTTATTATTTATATTATATTTAACTTTATAATGCTATAACTTATTGAAAGTTTATGGATCCACACAATTTTTTTATGAGAAATAATATTTTTTAATAAACCCTTTTTCATTCGACATACTTTATCTTAATCGAGATATTAATAAGGAACCAGCAGATCAAGTAGCTTTTGGAATAAAACACCAATTTTTTTAAAATTAAACACTATCTAAAGATTTGCATCGAAGCGTTTATTTTTGATAGTGATTTTAATCACTGTCAGATATCATTATACTTGATCCAACTATGCCACGTCACCACTGTGCCCTGACCCCCCTGTGCTGGGTTTTTTATTATTTGTATATTAAAAAAAAAAGAAAATTTTCTTCAATATAATTGATAAAATTTTCACGGAAATTTTTTATTCTTTTTAAAAGTATAACAAAAAAAATTGGCTATACAAAAAATGTATGAAATAAAATTCTATTTAAATCAATTTGAAACATATTAAAATTAAAAAACGTGGTAATCATAAAAATTCAGTATATCCCATATAAATAAAACCTCAGTAAGTCAAAAACTACAATAAGAAGGAATAATAATAAATAATAATAAATAATTTTTTTCTCTTGGAAAAATCTCAATTATTCAAAAAAAAACCAGCACAGGGGGGTCGCGGCACAGTGGTGACGTGGCATAGTTGGATCAAGTATAATGATATCTGACAGTGATTAAAATCACTATCAAAAATAAACGCTTTGATGCAAATCTTTAGATAGTGTTTAATTTTAAAAAAATTGGTGTTTTATTCCAAAAGCTACTTGATCTGCTGGTTCCTTATTAATATCTCGATTAAGATAAAGTATGTCGAATGAAAAAGGGTTTATTAAAAAATATTATTTCTCATAAAAAAATTGTGTGGATCCATAAACTTTTCAATAAGTTATAGCATTATAAAGTTAAATATAATATAAATAATAAAATCGAGAATTTTCACACGAAAATAGTATTCGGTAGCCATTTTCGCCGTCAAGACAAGTCCAGGGGTTAAATTTTTTTTTTTTCAAATTTAAGTACATTACATTAGCTTTAATTTAAGATATCTATAAAAGTGTCAGACCTTTTGGAACATTTTCAAAAGTTATGCTGAAAAAGTAAATTTGTTGTGAAAAAGTTGTCATTTTAAATCCCCCCCTGTGGGCAGGTTAAGTGTCAGATTTACAAAAAATATACCAAATGATAAGTAAAGACATCAAGCAATCTATATAAAAAAAAATTATATTGATATGTTCATTTTTGAAAAAGTTAT